ATGGTCTTTAAGGTCCCTCCCAACCCTTCCCACTCTATGGTTCTATGGATACCGCAGCCGACAAGTTGGGTCTTGCTGCCTGCCTTCGGGGAAGGAGGACGGGCTCGAGCTCGGCTCTCCTCGCCTGGTCGCTGCGTGTGTCCCTGATGGTCAGAGATGGGCCTGAGACCCGGCTTCTGCCTGGTGGTTCAGCCTAGGGAAGAAGTACATCTGCCCTCCCCTTATCCTTTCTTTGAAGTAGCGGTAGCAAGAGGATAATTTCTTTATGTTTTTAGAACTGGGAATGAAGGAAGAAGCACTCAAATAGTCCCATCTACTGGCAGACACGCAGTTGGCCCTAGGTGCCCTTGCACCATGAAGCGCCTCATGGTCTCTGACTCTTTGGCCATCATCTCCTAGCAAGCTCATAGCCCGGTGCCTGCTGCTTGTCTCTGTTAATTTTTTTGGTTCCTAACCTAGCCTGTATATTCAGACTATTTTTTTTCCCTGAGGAAGAAGACTAGGAGGATAAATCCATGTTGCTTCTTGGAGAAAGCCTTCAGAAAGCCCCAAGACTTTTTCATGCAGATCTGATGTTTCCATACATGGGGACAAACTTTTCAGCAAGGGCTGTAGCGATAGGACAAGGGGTGATGATTTTAAACGCAAAGAGGGGAGATTTAGACTGAACATAAGGAAGAAATTCCTTACATCTTCAGGTTGCCCAGAGAGATGGTCGATGCCCCATCCCTGGAAACATTCCAGGCCAGGTTGGATGGGTCTCTGAGCAACCTGATCCAATTGAAGATGTCCCTGCTCATGGCAGGGGCTTGGACTAGATGGCCTCTAAAGGTCCCTTCCAACCCAAACCATGCCATGATTCTGTGGTCTTTAAAGTTTCATGAGACTGGAAAAGTACTTGTTCCCTTACTGGGTTGCAGCGTTTCTGGCTGGGTTTGTGTGTACGTGAGCTTAAAGATACGAACGTTGGCCATAAGCGTTTGAAGGAATGGTCAGCAGCTCTGGATGGTAGAAACAGCTTTTTATTTTCTTCTTTTTTTCTCTCTGGACATTACTGTGCAGCTCTGTGGGTGCCGGAGTCAGAGCTGTTGTCCTGACCGCGCTTGACTGGTCCAGCCCTTGCCCTGGGACTTGTCTGACCACAGAACGAACGGGTTCAGGCAATGCCACCACCTGCAGACGAATCCCTGCTTGGAGGGTGAGACTTCTGGCACTCCCAGCTCCCGGATCTCAGAAGGGACAATATGAAAACGGAGTGTGGGAAAAGAGGTGAAAGGCTCATAGAACAGATCTCTTCCATCTTTCTCTTCACATCTGGGTGTCCTGGTGGATGACAGGTTGACCATGAGCCAGCAGCGTGCCCTGGGTGCCAAGAAAGCCAATGGGATCCTGGGGTGCATTAGGAGGAGTGTGGCCAGCAGGGCGAGGGAGGTTCTCCTCCCCCTCTGCTCTGCCCTAGTGAGGCCCCATCTGGAGTCCTGTGTCCAGTTCTGGGCTCCCCAGTTCAAGAAAGATGAGGAGCTACTGGAGAGAGTCCAGC